TTCAAGAGCTATCAAAGTAACGTTTGCAGAAAACGTTAGATCAACGTTCGTTGTTTGTTGTTTGAACGTTCACAGCGAACATTTAAGAACTGTAAATCAGAGTTCACAAAAGTTGGTTCAAAGAACGTTTGGAGCGTATGTTATTCAAACCTAAACGAACGTTATAGTAACGTTCTTAAAACGTTAATTTTTAGCTGGGTAGCTGAGTGTCAATGCCTGTTGGTAATTGTTGTTTATGTGCTGTGCCACAAGCGGGCGTAGACTGAATAATTTCATTTATATATATTACCATTGTAATGATGATAATGTATAAGAATTATCCAGCCAAGCTTGTTTTGCTGGATTTTTTTTAGTTTTGTCAATCTGCTGTTCAGCATGCTCAGATTGACTTCAATCTTGCTTTTTCACCTGTCAGTATTGCCTGTAATGAGAAGAGTTTAGTTTGAAATTATGGATCAGCCAGTGTCACCAATATATAAAAGCGGTTTCTCCTCAATGCCTTTTAAACGCTTATCCAATGAATTGATTAGGGTTGAATTCATAGTCTTTACACCTGCATTATTGCAGAATATCGTGTGTCTTTCCTTCAAAATTTTTTTGTTGCGTTGTTGTTTGAAAATAGGCTTAGCTAATTAAATTGTAAAGAAATGTAAATACAGATACCAAAACAAACATGAAGTTCATAGACTATAGAGTTACTAAAAACATTGATTTGTAAAAATGAAATATTAAGTATACATGTTATCACGGTCAAGAAAGATGTAATACATATCAAAATTCAGAAATCTGGCCAAATATAAGCGGGATTTGCTATTATTTTGCAAGAGCCGGATTTGGGCCGAATTTGTAAAAATGGCTGGATTTCGGCCGGAGCAGGAGCCGGAGCCGAAATTCGATACAGCCCTAATTGCAACTCTCTCCTTTCTGCTTTTCACATTTGATTACAAACTTTTAAATCGATCAATGATATGTTGTTCTGTTGGCATCTTAATCATTTAACCAATACTTTTAACAACAGTAGTAGATCTTTATGAAGTTTTAGCTTTTTCAAACCTCACTAATTCGATTCCAAAACTTTCTTATTTTTGTCTGAAGCAAGAGTATTTTTGGCCATTTTTGTAAGTATATTGGGTAATTCCATATCAAATGATCCAGAAATTTTTAAAAATGTCACCCTATATCTCAGATTTTACTGATTTTTATACAGTTGAGAGTACTTATTAAAATAAGAATTCCTTGAAATTTTTAGCATATTTCAGAATCTTCTTGGAGCCTCTGGCTCCAAGAAGATTCTGAAATATGCATATATTATGAAAATATATGAAATATCATATTTCATATTTGAAATATGAAATATCATATTTCATATTTCAAATATGAAATATGATATTTCGAATAAATATGAAATATGATATTTCGAAATATGAAATATCATATTTCATATTTCGTACTTACTTGGAGCCTCTGGCTCCAAGTAAGTACGAAATATGAAATATGACCATTTTACTTTTAGCAGATACTGGCCAGGCCCCTCTTGTCCCCTTAGAATTGCAACATTCATTTAAAAGTCAGGGGTGGCAAATCCAATGAAATGATCAGAAAATATTTTTAAGTACCTGTATTTATCAATTTAAATTTAAGCATTTTTTTATATACCAGATTTTGATGCTCAAGAAACCCATGTGGCCTTGATGATATCAAAAAAATATATTATAAAAATATTTATATATTACACATTCTATATTCATTGATCTTTCAAAAAATATAAAGATTTTGATCTGTAATTATATGGATTTAATATATGGATAATGGGGTACGGTCCCCACTTTTTTGCAGCAGATTATTACAATTGACTTTTCACTATCTTGCAGACTAACTGGAGGTCTAAAACTTTTAGCATTTTTGTAGTGACAATGAACATGCATGTTAAAGTTGTTTTCAGAGCCAAAGACACTGGGGGAGATGGCTGGGTCATAGGTCCACATTTTTGAAGCGAAACCTTGTGATTTTTCACTAATTTTCAGACAAACTGGTGCTCTGAAACTTTCAACATTTGTGTAGTCATGATCAATGCGTGTTAAAATTGTTTTTAACAGAATTTTACATTGTATAATTTAAAACTTTTTGAATCAAAAAGAAAACAGATATAACAACATTGATCTGTCAGACAACAACAGTTGAAGAATACAAATTGATCCTATCAGAAGCAATAAACAAGTTAACAGTTCATTCCTACATTGCAAAATGTCAAGCAAGATACATAAGGCAACAAAAGGAAAATTTTGCAAAAGACTGCTAATTATCTTTTGCAGAAAAATACACGTTTGTGATTTAAGATGAAATCTAAAGTTACTATTGGTGCTAAAGTCAATGCATGTTAAACCCTGTTGCCTACTATTTTTTAAACAAAATTGATCAGCTTAAAGGAATATTGTTTTACTTCATGTCAGAAGATAATGAGCATGAGATTGGTTTTGTGTATGAAGTTAAGACACATATAGTTAATTATTTAAAAGAAAATCATTCTAATATTTCAAAGATTCTTTATTTATGGTTGAGCTGCACAGTATAAAAACCACAAAAACTTTTCCAATATCTGTCTCCATAAAGATGATTTTGATATTGATGCAGAGTATAAATTTTTGCTACAAGTCATGATAAGTCACCATTTGATGGTATTGGTGACACTGTAAATTGATTAACTGCAAATGCAAGTTTACAAAGCCTCATAAATGACCAGATACTGAATTTAATAAAATGCTTGTCTGCTGTGCAAAAAATATTTTTTTACTTTTTTCAAAATTGAAAAAGAAAGACTGACATAATTGCACAACACTTTCAAAAAATGTTTTAAGCTAAGTAGAACAATTCATGGAATTAGGAGCTATCATCATTTTAACTCAGAATCTATTGGTACTATTAGTTTTAAACAAACAAGTGAAGATTTTAATATAACAGGCATAGTTTCTTTTTCTGATATTCTAAGTATTTAACCTAATCAGCAAAATTACAGCAACGCATTGAAACTTAATATTAATGCATTGAAATTTGGTGAATTTGTTCTGTGTAAATATGAAAAGTGTGATTGGATTGGTATGAGCAAGATGTTATGGTAATATTTATGCACCCACTAAGTCCTTTTAACAAACTTTTCTGACCATCTAGAGTAGGTGAGTGTTGGGTTACAATTACCAACATAATTTGTACCATTGATGCACCTGTAACAATAACTGGACATATGTTTACTTTGACTGTTGACGCATCTAAGCAAATCTTAACGCAATTTTGAGACTTTATATTTTTGTATTTTATTTTGTAAATAATTAAATAAAACAGAACAAGCAAAAATCAAAAATTTTTTTGAAAACAATATCATCTTCACTTTATTAAAAATGCAAATCCCTCTAATGTCTTGGAGCCCTGAAAACCATTTTAACATGTACAATTATCGGCACTTCAAAAAATCCAAAGTTTTCAGAGCTCCAGTTAGTCTGGAAGTTAGTGAAAAGCCAATTGCAATATTCCACTACAAAAAAGTGTCCCGTTATCCATATATGGAAATCCATATACTTGCATATCAATCTTTATATTTTTTTAAAAGATCAATGAATATAGAATGTGTTACAAGTTTTGAAGTAAAAAAACAATATTTTTAAAGTTATGTGACTTGAAACCTCTAAATAAATGTTGCAATTCTAATGGAATAAGAGTAGGCCTGGCCAATATCTGCTATAAGTAAAATGGTCATATTTCAGGATCTTTTTAGAGCCAGAGGCTAAAAATTTCAAAGAGTTCTTATTTTATTAAGCATTCTCGACTGTATAAAAATCAGCAAAATCTGAGATGTATGAAAACATGACCTGGGTCATTTGACATGAAATTACTGTATTACATAATTTATATTTAATTGAGGTTGGCAAAAAATTGCCGACCTCATTATTTCTAATTCTGAAGGTTGTTATTATGATATTTTTTATAATGATCATTATTTGGTGCCAAGAGTCACAGGTTGTATTTAAATTGATATATACAGCAATCAATTCTTGTAACAGATAAGATTATTTATAAGTAAAAAACGAACATTATCAAAAAACAAGATGGCTTTAAAATGTGTTGAGCAACAATTACTTTTAAGCAATTTATAATTTGTAAACAAAAAAAAAAATTTGATACTTATATTAAGTTACATTATTTATTTTAGTGATTTTTTTCATGGTTTTTCAGAGCATTGAAATAAACATTAAATTTGTTCATATAATAAAATAATAATAAAAGTTGACCAAAGATATGATGGCCCACTTAAAAGTTGACCAATTACTTCATTTAATAAGTACATCATTCAAGATATCTTCAAAGGCAAAAAAAGGGAAAATATGCTTATTAATTGTGTGTTAAATGACACATTTAATCATAAATTCTTATTAGTAATAATTTTTCTTCTTATTTTTTAATAAAATTAATTGGTTACACTAAATTTTTTAGTTTTTATAAATAATTTTTGTTCCTATTTATGTTGGTTTTAATTTATTTACTTTGACTAATTTTTCGAACACTTACCACAAATATTAATATATAATAGCTACTTGTAAAAAAACTATTATTTAGTATATTGAAACTAACTGAATGATCAAAAAAATAAATATTTAAAGTAATAAATTTTAATTAATTTAATTAAGTATTTAATATATTTAAATAAATTAAAGCAAGTAATAAGATAAGTTTTAAAAATTATTGGTAATTTTTATTAATTTTTTATACTTATATACCTTTCCAATACCAAGTGGCTATATTAGGCCAATTTTTATGTGTAAGTTTTAAGTGGGTCACTATAGTAAAGGCTACTAATTTTTTAAAGTTAACAAAAATGATAGCTGCCTGAAAGTTAAACATAGTACTACCAGGATTTTTTTATAAAATAAAAGTTAATTTTTTTTTAAAGATTGGGCTTGTTAAAGAGCAAAACCAAGATTTTTTTGTATAATAAAAGTTTGTTTTTTAAGATTTGGTTTGTTAAAGAACAAAATGAAGACGATAGAAGCATAAGTATTGAATTTCTAGCAAATCTTGACCGTCACGTGAAGCCAGTTAATGTTGTGAGATTTTCACCTAACGGTACATTTTTTTGAAGGGTATTTTTTTGTATTTTTCTATTTAAACATTTATTTATATCTGGTGTTTTTGTACTGAATTTTGATAATGTTGCTTAAATGAGTTTGTGAAGTTTCCAAAAGAACTCTTTTTAGATTTTAGATTCTGAAAGTCACAAAATCACTTTTTATTTTAGATTTTTAAAGCCCAGGAGCTCCGCAAATGTTAAGAAGCTTATGGATTACTTTAGAGAAAAATTCAGAACATTTAGGATACAGAAACTTATTAATTTTTAACTCAGAGTGCTTGTAAAGTAAAACCATCAACTTGGGAACTCCAGGCTAAAAATATCAAGATCAAATATAATCCACCTTAACTGTTCACTAATGTAGACTACAGTTAGTAGTAATGTAGACTACAATTAGTTTTTCAACATTTTTGGAACTACCAGACATCAGGTTTATTTGTGTCATTATGTACTTAGCAGATAAATTTTTGTAGATATATATGAGTGATTGTTCTTGTGTAAACTAAGTGTGATTAGATGGTCAAGTTTATTTAAGATATGTTTAAGTATGCTGAAGTAGCTTTGAAAAACTTGCATCTTTGTTTTAGTTTTTTGGTTGTAATGGTAAAGATAACTTGTACTTATGTTAAATTGGCTTGGGCAATGAGCATGGTAAGCAGATATAAGTATAGATTTAACCTGATCTGCCAAATATTCAAAGTTGCTCCAAAAAATATTTGTCAGATGGTTTTTTAATGTAAGCTAGCATATTGTTTGTTAAATTTGAATTATGTGTTTTGGTTTAATTGTGTGTTTTGGTTGAATTGTGTGTGTTTGGTATGCCAGAGTGTTTGTATAAGTTTACCACTTCAAGAGTTTTGTCTTCTAATTTTATGACTGGTTGTTTTTTTTAGGCCAAAATCACTTCTTTCTATCACCCTCAATATATCTTTCTATTCAGTAGACTTGTTGTATATATTATTGTATATATGAAGATTTATTACATAATTTGTTTAATCCAATTTGTATAATGCATTTGTTGGCACAATGATTAAAGGTTACAATTAGTTGAAGATAATTTGGCTTAATGAAAGGTGATAAATCTAGTTTTCTAATGTCTTACTAAACAATATTTGAGAGTTGTGCATTTAGTTTTGCACTAAATTCAGTATCTAAGGTTAAATTAAAGATTGGGGTTGATGGATGACATGTATGCGACCATATACAATTCTTATCAATAACATTAATATCAGTTTTTTTGCTTAGATTTTTTCGAAGTGGTAATCAGTTGAATCATATTATTGGTTAAGGAGTTACGCTAGTCTTAAAGACCAGGTTTGCTTAATCATTAGCATTGTTTCATGCATTTTAGAATATCGACAGTCATCCCTCACATTTCTACCATTGACACACCATAAGAATTCTTAGTTAAAACAATCAGTCTTAAATAAAAATCTGACACAATTAGAGTGGCAACTAACAATAAATGTGTTAGTGGCAATTAACAATAAATCCTGCACTTAACTAAAATCATTTTTACGCTATGTTGACAATAGTCATGCAAGATTTCCTAACATCAAACAAGTTAAACAATTCCAAGATTTTCAATCAAAAACATCCTGCAATACAATACACAGTTGAAGTTGAAAACAAGGCAAAAATGCTTAACCTTCTTTATATAACCATTATAAATAATACTCTATCTGTAGTAAACCTTATTTGCAAAATGAAATAAATTTTCTAACTGACATGTTTATTGAAAATGGGTACAAAAAAAAGCAATTGAGGAATATTGCACATCAGTTTCATCAAAAAGAAATAAAAACACTATTCCATCAGAATGCAATAATTTTCCTGTAATGTTTTTACAATGGGTTCTAGGCCTATTCACCAAAACTTTAAAAAATGTTCCGAAAAGCAGGATACAGAGAAGTATTCAAATCAAACCCAAATTTAAGATCCTTATATACAAATCAATACTACCTAGTAACAGCCAGCCTGGAACCTTTATAATAAAATGCAACTGTTCTAAAGTTTACGTAGGTAAAACAAAAATGCAGGTAAATACGCAGATAGATCAACATCAGAGAAGCATTGACGAAAAGAAACCTAATCAATCTGCATTAGCATTTCATAAAAGCTTTTGCAAAGAAAATGTTATTTGGGAAAAAGCAAGAACATTAAAGGTAGAAAGTAAAAAGTTTGAAAGGAAAATTAGGGAAGCACTAAAAATAAAAAATAACATGTGCTTTATGCAAAACGGCATGATTAATATTCATCTCTTTTTGTCAATGCTCCTCTGATGTTGATGCATTCGCATATTTACCTGCATTTTTGTTTCACCTTTGTAAACTTTAAAACAGTTGCATTTTATTATAAAGGTTCTAGGCTGGCTGTTACTAGGT